ACTCGTGATGAAGACACCTCGCTCCAAATAGACGGACTTTTAAGAACTTTCCCGTTAGATTTCCAGGACTGGCGGATGGAGTGAACGGTGCGACTCTCAAATTCTTTTCCCAGAGGATGAATCTTGGAAAAGTAGACAGGTGAAGAGCAGGGCGGTGGGAAATAGCAATGAGGGCGGTGAAATAATCTTACCTCTGAAAGTAATAATAATAATAATAATACAATAAATTGAGGCAGTTTGCCAACATCTGGGTTGCTCTTGCCAGCTTCAAGGTCTTGGTGAAACTTCTTCCTGCTGCACATTAGAAATCCTAAGTCTCATGGAATGTCCCCATTAAAAAAACAAAACAAAAACCTTTTCGTTTATTGACTTAAAGGAGATCGCCAAGATGTCTCTGGCAGCTTCAGCGGATTGTAACATACAGGGTAGCTGGGAAATATAGATTCCCCCATCCAAGCATCAGGAGTCCTCTTGAACCCCCCCACTGCTTTATTCTTACAGCAAACACCCTGCTTTGAGTTCTTTTTAAAGGTGTCAAAGAATGAGAAAGAACTGTCTTTAGATGAAATACCGGGCTCTTTACATGTGAAACTAGTCACTCAAGCTTACCTATTTTCTTTTAATTTATACTTTTCATTGTCACCTATCAAAACACCAATCAAACCATTTCAATACTTCACGTCCAATCACGCCTTCCTTTCTCAAGCAGCCCAACAGAAACTCTTTCCTGTCCTTCATGAAATGGCCGGCACTGTGCATAGTCCTTAATGATTAACTCATTAGATACCACTTTTCCCTTTTTAAAATGGACACACATTAGCAATAAGTTACACGCTTCCTCCCCCACTGTTTAAACGAAAGAGTCAATTAAGCACAGAGGAAACTGCCTCTAACCCTCAATCACAAACCTGAAAGTTAAAACAACAAAACCGGCACAAAACTCGAATGGTTTTGAAAGTTAAAATACATTTCAATACAAGTTTGCTTAGTGTTCTGGATCATTTAAAAGTTAGATGGGTTTTTCAAAACCAACACAATGATGTTGTGTCCTATTTCTTAGTTAATAGAATGCGCAGAGTATTTAATGAGGCTAAGTACAAAACTCATCACACCAGACTGAGATCCAGTGTTGCCAAACACTATTTAATGCCATGGTAAACAGAGTTATTAATAATAATAACCCCACTCCCTAAACTGAGACATACAATTAAGCGTCTCTAAGTTCCATCTTGTTTTGGCTACTCTATTTACAGCTTTTGCGATTAATGGAGATAAACGTCCTTGGTTGCCCTTAAAAAGAAAAAAAAAAATGTTTAGCAAACGTACAGTTATACTTTCAAACTCCACAGCCGTCTTCCATTTAGATATTAAAGTTAAACACAAGTATGCGAACCATTACATCAGATGTTAAAGTCATTCCTAATTTAACATTTCCTTGGTTGACTACTTAGAAAAACAAAAGTTCATTCGAAATAGCACTGGTGTCGAAGGCAGAGGTCCCTTCCACATTGCTCTGCAAACTGCTCGCTGGAATCGAATTCATTTGTAGCCTCCGCTTATCCCCTTTCTTCTCTCCCAGGGACAGTACAACGACTTACATTCGTAAAAAGCCACCTCACGATCCCATTCTACGGATTTCCCCTTAGACTTAAATTTACTTACGAAAAGAGATTACAAAGAGGCGTCTGGTCACTTTAGCAGAGGGTCGACCGCTGATACAATAGACAAAGAATCAATGCTTTTGAGTTGCCCGTAGCCCCACCCTCCTTCCCAACCGAACTGTGTTTGGTCAAATCCAGTAAGTGCCAAAGAATACAGCTCTTCCTCCGTTCAGATTTTACGGCGTTTTGTCTTAATTTTGCAGATGCTTTCTTCCCCCACATCCCTGGGCGCATTCGTGCGAAACTTTCCCAATGTCAAGTTTCCTACAGGGAAAACTAAACAACCTTGAAAGTTTCAATTGAGTAAAGACAATGCAAAATTAATCGCACATTTCTTTCCAGCACATATTTGACTGCTTGCAAATTAAGAGCCACAGAAAGTCCACTTACGGTCTGTCACAACCGGTCGCAGCCCGTCCTGGCCAAGCTGCCCCTTACTCAGTTTTCTCCCTCCACCCCTCGATGTTGGCTTCTTTCCAGCCCGTTTCCTAAGAATTTTCCCGGCCGCACTCATGTGCTGAACACTTTGCAGGGTCTCTTTCTCCCACACCCCGGCCCCCAAACGTGCTTTACGGCCCCAAAGCAACACAAAACTTCTTCATCAGAGTCACCAGCTTCTTTTTCATTCTGCCATAACCCACGTTATTAGGGGGGAAAACCGCCCACCGACAAGTCCCTTTTTAAAAAAAATCGCGTGTCACCTCTCG